CAGCTTCGCCTTGAATGTGTCCCACCTGTCCTCCCCTCAAAGGAAAGCCAGTCTCAGCCTTGTCCGGTCAACCTTCTCCATGTCCCTCCCCATGTTCTCAGCCACGGCCTATGGTGTGGGGGTCTGCCACAGCTGGTTCTTGGCAGTGGCATGAGGGGCTGCTGTCTCCCTGGGCTGAGGATGAGCTCAAGCAGTAAGGGCAGGGGAGAGCCTTGTCCTTAAGTGACCCCTGATACCGTATACCATGGGGGTGGTTTGAGGAGAAGAGGAAGACAGGCTAGATAGAAATGGAGAGAGGAAAAAAAAATTAGAGGAGCCAGTAAACACCAGAAGATTAATGAGTCGAGGGTCAAAAGAGTGTGAAAAAGCTGTGTTTTCTTCTTGTTTTCCATAGCATTAGGGACAATACCAGAAGCCCTTTGAGTGCTCTGCTGTTCTCCTTCATCACAGGGGCTTGGCAAGAGAAGGTGCGAGGGGGGAGCGAGGCACCGGAGGGATCTCTGCTACCATCCCAAAAGCTGCTTGTAATCTGACTCCAGAAATGGATCTTCAAGCTGCAAGGAAACTATGTAGCTTCCCCCCCTCCCCGTTTTAAATAGTTTAGCACCTTTTAAACCTGGCAGGGAGCATTCTGGGAGCTGGGCCAAGAGGGCTGGCTCTGCCCTGGACCCAGCCCCATGGTCCGCGTTATCATTAGATATCTTCTTCTGCCAAACAGGTGTGAAGGCCGTCCCAGGGCTGGCCCCAGGGGGTACTCGCTGTTGAAAGGCTGCTTTGCCCAGATACCGCTGGTACACGGGAGCAGGGAAAAGGAAGGGGATGCTGCAGTGCAGTGGGTTGACACACAGAGTCTTGGGGCTCAGGTAGGACACAGTCCTGCTGGCTCAGCCTCATTACTGAGGTTAATTATCCTTCCTGCTGCTTCCAGTTTCTAGCAGATGGTGCTGCACTGGATGGTGTAGGTGTACCTGGGGTATAAAAGTGGCCAGGAGGCAGTTTGCTTTGCCCTGGAGGGCCTTGGTGCTTGTTGCCTGTTTACCCGTTCCCCTTCTTTAGCCTCTCAAGTCCAGGCATCGGTGTGCAACTGGCTGTGTGCGGGGCTTCCCCAAAGCCAAAACTTTGCTGGGGCAGAGAGGAATGCAGATGCAATCCTGGCCTATTTCCACAGGACTGCAAGTCAGCGGCAGCTGGGAAGTGATATGTTCCTGTCTAATTATTTCCCTGGGAATAAAAGGCAATGTTTTTTGTTTGGTCTCAGTAATGAATCAATCATTTCTGAGGTATGATGTGCAGACAGACACGAAGAAGCAGCCGGTGTCCTCGGCTGTGCATGCATGTTGGTGTCTGGCTGAGCAGCTTCCTTCTGGGATGGGAAGCAGCTGAGATCTCTGTTTCACTATGGGGCCGTTCCTCTCCCAAGGGCGCAGCACAGGAGAGACTCATCATTCCTCAGAGACATCACGAAAACTGCTGACCTTGAACATATGGAGTAATGTGTGATTTCCAGAGTGCCTCCCTTGTCCTCTCCTTCTGGTTTCCCAAATAGTTGATGTAAGCTCAAAGCAGGTTTGGGTTCACAGAGCCTCTCCATCAGTGTTTCTCCTTCATGCTTCTGTATGATAGCTGCAGTAGGTGGCTCTTGATGGGTTTCCCACTCCCTTGATTGCTGCCCATGAGCAGCATGGGGTCGCCTGTGGTACAGCTCTGTGTTCTTGCCACATTCCACTTGTGAGGGGGGTCCTCACTGTCGTTAGAGGCTGGTAAGACGAGGGTGTTAGATACTTTGAAGTGACTGACCAGCTTGAAGCACTTGCAGCTGGATGCGGGCAAAATACAATTCCTTGTCTTTCTGTGTATTAAGACCCATTTAATATGAATGTCTAATTAATTCTTTGGAGAAAAAGAACTATTTGCTAAGAGAGGAGCAGTCTTAACAGACTTGCCTGCAGAAACACTCAGTACTGCCCACATACACAAATTTTTTTTTTTTTTTAAATAAAGAAGTTTTTTTTTCTGATTTCTTATCCAAATGTACTGACCTTTCGCTTTTCAGTGTGTAATGGACAGGGTTAGGCTGACTTTGCTCCTCAGGGCCACCAGCGCCTTTCAAATGCCAGTTGTACCTACTTCTGACAGAGTGCCTATGCCTGGGGTCCTGCATGTGATGCCTCCCCATACCACTATCTTACCTGTCCCTACAAGGAAGACATTCAAGTTCAAGCTATGATCTCCTTCACAAGGGCTATTGCCTCATTCAGTGGTTTGGTCACTATGAACTCAAGGCAGATGAGGTGTAACAGGTGAATGGGAGAGGCTTTGCTGCCTACTCATCTTCACGTTGGAAATTCTTCCTCTGCTGCAACACTTTCTTAACTTTCAATCTGTTTCTCCCAAAAGCTGATGATAAAAAGTTCCCATTTGTGGGCAAAGAGAACAATCGAAACCTTACTGGGGGGATGAGGAAAGAGAGAAAGGGTAGCCTTATCAAGGACTGCTGGCCCGGTGAAGGAGTGGCAGCTGTAGGATTAGCCCTTTCTCTTGTAACTCAAGGGAGACTTTCCATAAGGCAGTAACACCAGCCCCAGTATGAGCTCAGCCTCAGTGGCATCTGTATAAGCCTAAGCACCGTTAAATTATTTTTTTTTTTACCCTAGAGCACTGAAATGTGTATGTGTCTGTGAAACACCTGCACACTTGAACACGTCCATAGTGCTGTTTGCAGGTTCTGCCTGCTCTGCCACTATAAGCTGTGGCTCTTGGAGCAACTAGAGAGGGGTGTATCAGAATAGGCAGGCATCCACAGCAGGAGGGCAGGTACAGAGAAAGTACCCAGGCAATGGGGATGTCCGGAGACAGTGCCAGTTAGGAAAGGCAGTAGAGCAACTCTTTGTTCATCCTTCATGTTTATAGACATTTGTGGCACTTTGCAGTGACTTATTGGAGCTGCAGGGCCTGTGCAGGCTGTTACCTTATGCAGCGTGAAACTGTGCATGTTTTAATCCTTGGAATAACCACAAGGTAAAGATAAAGAATTATTTTTCTCAGGTGAGTATCTGTCCCTTAATCAAAGACTGGGACACTACTAAATGGCTAGTTTTGCCTGTTCTTGCTCCTTACTGATGTGCATCAATGAGACCTTGAGTCCCACTTGCTCCCTCTCTCTCTGACCCCAGGGTCTTCTGCCAAACCTCTCGAGGAAACAGCTGAAAGGGAAGAGCAGAAAGAGGGTCCTGGACAGCCCTCTGGCCAGGAGAGAGGGATGTGTGAGTGAAAGAGCAGAGGGGACCTCTAGGCTGAAAGCACTCTGCATTTCAATGCTTTTGAAAGTCTCCACCAGGTCCTCTGGGATGGGGCTGAGTTGTTCATAACCCCGGTGCAACCAGGTGGATGGTCTCCCCAAACACACTTGGTTCAAGTCTTCCAGGCAGTACTTATGTATCGTAAAGAAGTAAGAAAGGGCAAATAGTTGACCTGGGGGCTCTGCTGTCCTGTCTATTCTTCTAATAAGATGAGCCTTAAAAGCAGGGGTTGAGTGTTTGATGTTCGATGAGGAGCTAACATAGCCTACATTCATATACCATATAAGCACGGTATTCATTCATATATATAAAGATATATAGATATCCAGCTGTGTGTTGTTCATGCTGGCACTTTCCACCACAGGGATATGGTACACATAGGAATACACCAGTATTTCAGCTTTTTTATACCAGTACTTTCAAATTTCTATTTCAGCTAATATAGAGAGAGAGTCAAAGAGACTGATCAACAGGCAGGAAAAAAAAATTTTCTATAAAATCTTGCTTTGCAGTTTATCTGATAAAGGAAATATATAGTGTATAAACCTCGTTTCTTATCAGGCTGATTCATATTTGTATAATGAGCTCTGATTCTCCTGTCCCTTGCACTGTTATTTCCCCTAACGTCACTTACCTCTGACATAAGCCACCATAAGAAAGGTCAGAACGTTTTTCATCTGTAGCAAGAGAGGACGTGTGTACCCTACCTATGCTAACGAGTCTGAACAACTGGAGAATGTATTTATAAATGTATTTATAAAGATAAAACTACCTCCAAACTCTCCATTCATTGCACTATTGTCAAACCTAATAAGCTAAGACAATTGAAATCTGCCAGAATGGGAAAGCAGGGAGACCTAACACTGCCGCAGTGACCTGCACATGGAAGGTGCTGCACTTGCCAGGACTGGGTTGCTGACCCTTTTCTTTGTGAGTGACCCCCTTGACTGCAAACTAGCACCCTGAGCTTCTTCTCAGTCTGAAGTCAAAAGAGGCTTCTCACGGGCTACCATGGGACATCTGAGTCTCTAAGCAGGGACTAACTGTGCAACTGAATACTTAAAAGCAAACCAGTTTGAATCCTTTCACTGCTCATTGCCCAATGCGTGTTATCCAGCATCTGATATGGTTGAATGGATGTGTTCCCTCGCAGCATCTTGGTCATGGAAAAAGATGCTATGTAGGCTTTGGGTTAAAAGTTAGCTAAAGCTGGAAGATCATGGGGAATAGAAGAGCTTGAGGGTGGGCCCCAATGTTTCCACTGGCAGGAGTATGCTGTCTATCTCATGTGCACCACCTTCAATCAGCTAAGGTTCACCTGAAAGGGAAGTTAGGCCCAGACACAACCTGGCTGCAGATGTCTGGAACTGGCCTGGATTCTGCTCTGGTGTTTCTTTGGGGTTAAGACCAATGGTTTGGCTCAGTGCCATGATCTTCATCCTCAAAAGTTTGGGCTCAGACCTTGATCAGCCTTTCCAGAAGTTCAGGAACTCGTGAGTGTTGATGTCCTGTATCAGATCACCTGCACTTACCCAATCTTTGGCCTGAGCTTTCAAGAAGAAAGAGGTTCAGACAGGGACTGTGGTGTTTGGTTTTGCATTGCATTGCCAGACAAGAACATCCTGTTGTTATATGGAATCACTGAAAACTTAAACAGCATCCCTAAAACCTTCCTCCCCTCCCAAAGCTTTTTGCTGCTCCTAGCAAAACTTGCAGGATTGAGTGGTCTTGTCAGAGTAGCTGCAAAGGGCGTTGTGTTTAATAAAAGGACTACACTTTACAGTGGCCTTCCCTATGTCTTGCAGTGAAATTTGGTCTTTGGATGTTAAGTGCTGGGCCGATGAGCATGGAGGGTACAAACTGGCTCCCTGTGTCCCTCTGGCAGTGAGCAGGCAGCCACTTTTCTCCTGCTCTGGGACACTTGGAGCAGATTCCCTGCAGATTCCTATTGTCCTTACTAAGGAGGCATGATTTGCAGCGGTGCTGGGTGCCTGCAGGTGCCGCCCACCACAGGGGCAGTCCCAGTGGCTCAGCACCATTGAGAATCAGGCTGGGGGGTCCGGGCAGGGGCAGGGGGAGCCGGGCAGCGGGGAAAGAGGAGCAGTGGTGCTTGCTGACGCTCAAACGCAGGTCTTCTGATGGAGGGACCTGCCTGAGGGGGAGGCCTCTTAGCCCCCACAAGTCAAACTGCACAGAGTCACAGTTAGTCATCGTCATCGTCATCATCGTCGTCGTCGTCATCATCATCATCATCGTCATCATCGTCGTCGTCATCATCGTCATCGTCGTCATTGTCATCATCTTCTGTATTTATCTTCCCAGAAAGCACGTCCTCTATCCAGTCTTCCAGCTCCTCGGCTGTGGGCAGGTCATCGTCGTCTCTGATCTCCATCCAGATGCTGTCAGCCTGTGGGGACAGGTGATGGGGGATTAGCCACCCTCAAAGACACAGGGAAGAGATGGGGTTCACTGCTATTGTGCGGGGGTAAGGGTTGGACCGTGAGTGGGATGCAGGGGTGGTGATGGCATTAGCTCCCTCTCTGCCACAGCCTGAGGGCAGTCTCAGCTGCAGTGTCTCTCTGCCCACACATTGGGATTACCACTTCCCCCTGAAGTGCTATTGCTTTTGACTAGGAGCAGTCAATGGGTTTACGTGAGTGTGCGGTACTGTTTGCCCTGGGTTAGACGTGTGCCCACTGCCTTTTCTTCTCCTGCGTTGCCTACACCTGTAAGCAAAAGCATCATCCACCTGATGCATTGTCCTCATCCTGTCTGGCCAGTTTTGTAGGCGTCAGGTCTACATAAAGAGACCTATGCCAGCTCCCCCCGCATTACCTCAGTTCACAGGACATCGTGGCATTTCCCTCCTTCCTTCCAGAGCTCTTTTGGGACCTTCTACTTTGAGCCTTTATACCCTGCTGTTAGAACCCTTCTCCCTAGCCTCTTTTACCATCACCTTTGCTCTGGACTTTCCACACATGATAGTGGTTCCTCCTGTTGGAAGAGCCTTTGCTTGGATCATCTCAACCATACTCCAGCTGAAGAATGGTGAAAAACACTGGTGCCCTGGACTACAGGTGTCCTGCTCTTTCTCCCTAGCTGTCTGCACTACTTCCATAAACTGGAAGGGATGGGGGGGATTCAGTGTGAACATGCTGTCTAAAATGCAGCAAGAAGATGCTGTCTAAATTGTGGTTGTTATCAAGCGACAGGAAGCATAGCTGAGATGGTCTCTGAGGCCTGGAAATGAAAGGTTTTCTCTGCTTTGCTATAGGTTCCTTGGGTAAATGGCTGAGTAAGGTCCTTTCCCTTCACCTCCATAAAATAGGATCAGCCTCCTATTTTGCAGAGGTGCTGTGAGGTTGTCTCATTCAGCATTTGATGTTGCAGAGGCAAGTGCTTTTCATATGTCAGAAGGTAACTACCAGCTTTTGCAAATGCACCCAACTTCTTTCCTTGTCTGTGGTACCTAATTCTCTTTGATTCATGGCTTTCTAAAAAGCCAGACCAATTTCTGCTGAGGGAAAGCTGTTTCTCCCTTACAATATTTTCCTCCTAAAACACCAAAACGGTAATTAAAAAAGAGCCACAGAGAGGCATGCAGCTCTTGCTTCATGCAAGAGATCCTGTCCCCAACCTCAGGACTGTTTGTGTGGCAAAAAGTGACACTTTTAAATAACGGGAACAGGGGTGGGCCCATTGCACCTACAGAAGATGCTGTGCAAATAAAGCAGCAATATTTTGTAGAGTGTCATGGCCCTAGTCCTGAGCCACTACGATGTGACAGGCCAGTGGGGGCTGCTGGGAGCTCTGGTGTTTGTATTGGCAGGTTTTTAGAGAAATGGTGGGGTCACAGGGGTTATGTCTACTGAAGCCAACAGCAGTGTTTATTTTTGCTCTGTTTATTTTTACTCCACTTTGTACCTGTGTAACTTGGCTCAATGCAGTGATGTAACACTGAAATAACGAAATGAGCTCAGTGTTTGTTTTAGATATCACCCGTCAACCTAGAACTTTCCTAAATCTGTCTCTTGAGGAACAGAAAACAGACTTAAGAGACATGAAATAAAAACTGCAAATACTATAATCAACAATGTGAAACATTCACTATATCAAAGCCAGATAATGCATGAGTTTTTACAGTCTCTGAGTGACTGCTGGATAATAAGACATATGTCCCTGCCTAATACTGCTTTCTGTATGACCCTTTGGCACTGACAATCCTACTTCCATGAATTTCCATTGATAGCTGTTTAATGTAGCTTTGACATGACTTAAACATGGCCAAGTGCAGTAAATATAATGAAGGGAGATACTAAGGACTAGTAACAAGGGCAAAAGATTGGAAGACTTGGGCTGTATTTCTGGCTTGTCTGTTCATTTCTCTCATGATCTGAAGTGACAGATGCTATCTTGGAGGGACTCTTTATCAGGAAGTGTGGTGATATGATGAGAGGTAATGGTTGCAAACTGAAAGAGGGGAGATTTAGATTATATGTTAGGAAGAAGTTCTTCACTGTGAGGGTGAGACACTGGAACAGGTTTCCCAGAGAAGCTGTGGCTGCCCCCTCCCTGGCAGTGTCCGAGGCCAGGCTGGATGGGACTTTGAGCAACCTGGTCAAGTGGAAGGTGTCCCTGCCCATGGCAGGGGGCTTGGAACTGGATGATCTTCAAGGTCCCTTCCAACCCAAACCATTCTGTGATTCTATGATTCCCTTTTGTCTCTCCCTTGACAATTCTGCTAACAAGCCTTAACCTACTGGGTCCTCTAATTTCTCTAGGTGTCTGTCCCATGGTCTGGCAGATGCTGCCCTGTTACAGGTAAAGCACTTCTCACATCCAGCCAGTGCTGCATCTGCTCCCTGATCCCAAGCCAGCCTCTCATTCCCCTCAATATGACGGGCAAAATCCAGGGCCTCTGCTTTCTTCATAACACCATCACTTTTATCTCCCTACCATGTCTCCCTTCCTATGATCTTTCACAACTTGCTACAACAGGAGACACAGCTATCTAGTATACCCTAATTATCCCTCTTTTTCTGGGGATGTACATGAAAGAGGACATGGGGGCCAGGAGCAAGGTCACTGGTGGGGCCAGGACCAGCGCCCAGCCCCGGAGAGTTGGGCTAAGTCCCTCTCTGCTCTCTTCTAATGAAACATCAGGTTTCCATACAGCTGAAATTTCAAACATGAAGTCAAGCACCAAATTACAAACACTTCTGCAGTGAAGAGATTTCAGCTTCCAGAGACACTTACATACCCACACAGGTTCATTTTAAAGACATTAAAACACCCAGTGTTTAAACATCAAAAATAAACTTAGGTAATAAGTGAGCTGGGCTGGAACACATCTCATTATGTGCTCTCTGATCATCTAGACTGTTACTGTCAGCAAAAGAAAAAATTATTTCTCTCCATAGTTGTGTCAGGGCCATGATGCACGCTACATTGCACTCAACAGCTCTCCCCAAATCTCTGCTGTTGGGGCTTGGATGGGTCCCTCCCCCATCTGCCTTAAAAGCTCACAGTGTGCCAGCAGCCTGACATCAGTCCTATGGCTTGCTGGCTTGAAGGCAACCGTAGTGTAAATGGTAGCTGCTAGAAAGCTGGCTTGATAGCACAGCTGTACGTGCTGTGGGTACCACCACCACTGTGGCTGTGCCAAAGCAGCACCTGCCTGTGCAGCTCTC